CTTGCAAATCAAATCAAATGAACATTGGAACAAAGTGAAAGAGGACTCAAATTAGAACTTGACATTGAACAATGAAGTGAACTCAAAATCAAATTTTCATAACTTGAACAACAGGGGACTCGAATGGAAGAGATTCATGAAGAGCCTGAACTATATGGGCAAATAAAAGGACTTTAATTCAATTTCAAACAATAAGTGAACTTGCAAATCAAAATAAATGAACATTGGAACAAAGTGAAAGAGGACTCAAATTGAAACTTGACATTGAACAATGAAGTGAACTCAAAATCAAAATTTCATAACTTGAACAACAAGGGACTCGAATGGAAGAGTTCATCAAGAGCCTATACTTGAACTCGAAGGAGCTTGGTGCAAGGAATTTGAACTTGAACAATTTGAACAAGAGCTTGAATCCAAGCTGAACTGCAGGGGACATATTCTAGAATTCAAATGATTAATGAATACTTGAACTCTATTTGAATATTAAATAATAATTTGAATGATATGAGCACAAACAAATTCTTGCAACTTGATTGCAAAGGATTTGGTCTTTAACTTGGATATGAACTACAATGGCTTTAGACATGAACCCTTACAAAAGACTTGGACTTGAATCAAGTTTGATTGCAATGGGGATAAATTCAATATTGAACAAATGAAAGTGAATGAGCATCATGAAATATAATCTTATGCCTAAGAAAAGACTCATAAGTTGGCACAATAATAATATTAAGGCAATGTAAAATTTCCAATTATCACTTCCACTAGACAACAAATGTTAATGATCCATGATGTTAAGTTCACCATATATTTGTACACATTGTAATCCCTCTTTTGGGATGAGATATTTATGAGTACAACTTGTTCGCTAGCTACAAGAAAATCATAATAGATGTGGCTTGGGCACCTGATTAAATTTATCTCTAAATGAGATTAAATGGTGCTCATATCTCTCACGAAATAAATATGGTGATATCCCTATAATCTACTAGAGAGCAAGATGTTTCTATAACAAGCTAATAAAATTGCTAGCGAATATCTGTTTAACAACAATTCAATTCCAAGAAGATACAACCACGAATGAGATCAAATGCAATGAACAATAAAATGCAAGAGTAGCATGCATGTCAATAACAACACTCAATGAAATATACATGAGCAGTAACATGGATCTTGTAGTGATATGTCCACAAACAAAGGTAAGGGAGAGGAGTTGATCCTTTGCTATCAATACGGACTAGTATGTAGGCGAGCACATAACGGTCTACTTTCAATAAGAAAGATAGATATTTTATAAGAGACCCACACCACAATAAGCATGTCAGTACAACAAGAAGATTCGACGTGAGGTGGAATAGACATGGGGCAACGACGATGAATATTCTACAAATGCTTGGGAGATAAACTACTAGAAGGATTTTGTAGGTGATGAACACAATAGTACCTTCACAATCAACATCTATATGCAAGCAAACAAATGAAAATTGGAGGGGTACATATAGTTGATTGCAAATAAAGATCAACGATACAAGTCCACCATGCTGACCACAAGCAAATATAGAATAGTTTTCACTCATATAGTAGCCCACTTATGGGTGATGACGATTAAGGTGCAGTGGATGCTAAATCATCTATACAATTGATAGCCACTCAGTAGTAGCCAAATATATCAGCCTTCTACAAGCAAGAACAAAAGATCTGCAACACATACGATCTCTCTACGAAGACAGATGTATGTGCCACATGCCACTGATGGATAAATACATAAACACTACAATAAATGCAGTATCCTCTAGTCAACTTCGGTCTAAGAATGAATACATCTATCTCCAATAGTAGTGGTTGTGTTATAAAGACCAAAATCACAGCAGAATGCATAAAGACTACAAATTCCTATGAGCTTCTACAAGCTAAGGTAGGAGATTAGTTAGTGCACTATGATCCACCTGCAAAAAATCAACAAATAGTGCACGACAATCTACCTGTACAAAGCAGTAAACAACTGATCCAGAAGCTGCTACTCCACGCCACCGGATTCGCAACATTCGTATTATCGGACAGAAGGCGTCTACAAATACTCCCAAAATACCCTTCCACGTGCACTATAAATTGTATACACATAGGTACACTAAAAGGGGTAAAAGCAATTGTAATACCTGCATGGGCCCCAGCGAGCGTGTTATTGGTACACACGTGACGTCTAGGGATGCTGCGCGGGTTGACAAGTGAATTCAGGTTCGAAACCGATCCTTCTATACGGGTCAATAGAAGTCGACAGGGTTCGAACCAACAAACA